CTCGTTACTTTTTGTGGTTTTTGTGTTTCAATTATTTTGGTTTTCTTATCTCTTTATTGGTTGAAAGAGGAATGAAATGTTTAGTTAGCAACTTGTTCATCTTAAAACATCAGTACTGTCAGTCTCAAAACCAAGCTTAGTTCATGATTGAAAATGAAAACCAATTTCCTTTTGTTACTGGGGTCTTGGAGACCGTGTATCCCACAGCTGCTTCCTGAATCATTCAATGGTAAAGAGATTCCAATACTAATTTGCAAGTCAAAGCCTTAGTCCTCGGCAGAGCTGGGCGGCCAACAATGGGCCGCAAAGTTTGTTTAGCCCACCTTGGCCACCTCTTCTTCTAACTTTATTTTGGGTACTGCAATGAAGCATTAAACTGCAACATTACACATTAATCAAGTATTTGCTAGAATACCTTAACAGTAAGGTTAATGGTTACAGTATTTTGATTAATATTATATAGCAACATTTTAAATTAAATGCAACTAAACTATCGTTTGTGGTAATTAACACACTCTTACGGAGCTTCTTCATACCAATAATGTTACTGTAATGGTTCTTGGATAATATTTTATTCAATATAACTAAACATCATTCACAGTAATTAAAACAATCTCACAAGCTTGCTTATACTAGTAACATTACTGTTATGGTGTTGTAGAAAAAATTACAAAATGTTTCATACCGGTAACATTACTATATCATTACATGGCTTGTCAGTAAATCGTGTTATTATTCAAATTTCATTTTCTTAAAAACCAAGCAAAGTTTCAATTTTTATTTAAAAATAACTTTCTTTAGCTGGTTCAATTGACTCGACGAAGGCTACGGCGGCGGGTGCTTCAGCTTGAACCATGAAGGAGTGAAAACTGGAGGAGGCAGTTGAAGGAACAGGGAGTGAATTACGAAGTTGTTGGAGGGAAAAGTGGTCATTTCTTTGAGTAGGTGGCAGTCGGTGGGTTGCGATTGTAGAGGCGGGGGGTGGTTGAAAGAGGATGTGGATTTGAACTCAAATGAAGTCAACCTTATGGGTGAGTTCTTGGCCAAGCTTCGACTCGAGATCCCAAACGACACCGTTTAGCGAGTTAACAGTTGCGGCGGCGGAATCAAGAATGGTTTCGGTAAAGAGAGAGAGTATTGCTAATGTTATTTCTTAGTCAGTCGCGATGGCGCCAAAACTCGTAATTGAATTTAACAGATTTCAGTTTTAAAAATAAAAAAATCTCTCTCTGCTTGATTTCTCAGTGAGATTGTGCTTTTCTCTCTCTCTCTCACTATGTGCAGGTTTCAGGTGACAGACCAATCACATTCAGCCATGTATTCAAAGTGCTTACAATATTTGATATGAAAAAATGTGATATTGATTTACATATCTATATCAATAATATTTTGTTTTTGGTAACCATAGTGTCTGAGCATAAATACCCTATAAGTGCAAAGAATCAGGTAAACCATAATAATAACTAATCACTGAGGTCTATTAAATACCCTACAAGCCACGTATTCAAAGTGCTTACAATATTGACTATTTCATAGTTAAAATGTGATATTGATTTGTATATGTATATCAATAATATTTTTATTTTTGGTAACTTGGGTGTCTTGGCAGGAACACCTTACAAGTTCAAAGGACCAAGTAAGCCACAATAATAATTAATCATCGAGATACATTAAACATTCTATAAGCCCAAAAGATCAGGTAAGCCACAATATTATTGTGGTAGATGACCCTAAGTTTTGACCATAAAAACTCAAGAAATGAATCATATCTAAGCAACCCCTTGGGGTTATAAACAATAATTTTTTGAAAATATTATATTTGAGTGCATTAATGTATGATTTACTGGTATCACATTATTGATATGTTAAATAATGTAATTACATTACACATACCAATAATAAAAGGCATGGGATTTGGTATAGATTTTAATGTTCTCCATGCCATGATCTCTTCTCAATAAATGTGTAACCTAACCCAATACCTTTCCAATTTCGTTTCCCACATGCAACCTTCCTTCTTCTTCTTTGACCACCATCACCAAAACCCTTTTCATTTTTAGAACAACAATGAAAATTATAAAATTCGTATAAATTAAAGATTGGCTTTTCCCAAAAGCCAAAATGTAGAATGTTGTGCAAAACCCACATGGAGGGAGTCTAATTTGGTCGGTTTGGCCGGTGGGTTAGGGGATTGAATATGTGACCATATGAAAATAAATGCCCATTAAGACCATTATTTAATGCAATAAATAAAGCTGCAAATCTTGTCATTAGAATGCAATATTCTAAAGGGCCGAACGACTTGTGCATACCTAAGATTTACTGTAATGATAAATTAGTATCCAAAAGATTTTAAAACGATAAATAGGTACCTTCTGTCATGTTCCGTTAGTGATTTCTGTTCATTAATAGTGAAAAGACTAAAATACCCTTCAAAGTTTCAATTTTAGTTTTTTATAAATTTAAAAATTTCTAAAAAACCCCCTAGGTTTGCTAATTTAATTAAACACCCCCATATATAAAAAGTTTGTTAAATGACAAAAACACCCCCACCACCCTCACTGCCAGATTCCGACCATCATCGCCGGAATCTAACCGGAAAACTGCATTTCGGGTCTGTGTCGTAACGTGCCGATCTGGCCTTTTCGGTCAGATCTGGCCGTCAAAGCAGCAGCCAGATCTGGCCTTTTCCTGCCAGATCCGTGGCTGATCTGGTCGGAAAAGGCCAGATCTACTGCCAGATCTGGCCGTCGACGCCGCAGATGGAGTTTTGCGACGTCGACGGCTAGATCTAGTAGTAGATCTGGCCTTTTCCGGCCAGATCAGCCACAGATCTGGCCGGAAAAGGCCAGATCGACGTGTTACGACACAGATCCGACGGGTCTGTGTCGTAACGCAACTTCTCAGCCAAATTCCGGCGGTTGTGGCTGGATTCTGGCACTGCGGGTGACGGGGGTGTTTTTGTTATTTTATAAAATTTTTATATATTGGGGTATTTAGTTAAATTTGTAAACTTAGGGGGCTTTTTAGAAATTTTTAAATTTATAAAAAACTAAAATTCAAACTTTTAAGGGCATTTTAGTCTTTTCACTATTAATAAACAGTAATAAACAGAAATCACTAACAGAACATGACGGAAGGTACCTATTTGTCGTTTCAAAACCTTTTAGATACCAACTGGTCATTATGACAAACCTTGGGTACGTGTAACTCGTTCTCCCTATTCTAAAGCAATAATCTTTTCTGGCTGCATGAAATGACAAAATCTTTCCCATCTTTTTGTTCTTGATTCTCACAATTAACAATTGGGATTGGCCTGTCTAAACTAAAAGAAGCTTGTTATAAAGAGATTAATTGGGCCATCATTTGGAGCCCCACCTCGTGATAGATTTATTTGTGGGTGCGGGTGTTGTTTTTCTCCATTTCTTTTATCATGAGGGCCCTACTGTATCTCACCAATAAAAGTTGTGACCCACTCATTTTACAATTTTTTTTTTTAACAGTAAACTACCTCTTCCCACCCAAGGTTTGCCTTAATACCCTTTCACCCAAAAAGTTTCAAAATACTACTTTTCTACCCAAAGTTAATATTTTGTTACTACCTAAAACTGATTTTGGAGGCAAAAATTCCCCCTGTCACCACCATTTGAATCTTTGGCCCCCTTTCTACAAAACCCCTCTCACTCAGACGATTCATTTCTAGTTGATTACTAGCCACTGTAAAGCTAAAATTTTCTATTCTTAGTTGATTTTTGGCTAATCTCAATAAGAATGTTCAATCGATCACTACCATTCGATTCATCGGCCTCCACTCTACAAAAAACCATTTTGTCTTGGCTCTTGGTAACTCGTTGAACACTGACTAAGAAAGTGAACTGTATTTTGTGTATTAACAAAATATAAACATCAGGTGGGAAAGTGATATTTGAAACTTTTTGGGTGGGAAATGTCATTAAGGCAAACCTTGTGTGGGAAAAAAGTCATTTACTTTTTTTTTTTTAATTTACATTTTACTATCAATTGGGTCATTTTTATAATTTGTTTTCTTGATTAATATATATATTTATTTGGAGCATTCAAAATTCTTGATTACCACGTTAGAAGCATAATGATTTTAATATGCTTCAACAATTTAATCATGTGACCATGTCATGCATTAACAAATACTTCAAAATTAATGGTGAAGCATTTACATTAAAACAAAGATCTACCCACCTCATAATATTATTAATTAATATATCACAATCTATTTAATTACACAATTAATCACTCCACCTCATTGTTTACCATTTATTTATTATATACCCTTTACATTAAAATTCAAGTGAAGTTCAATAGTTACTAAGTTGGTCACAACCTTGAAAATCATGACGTTTTTAAATTACCTCTAGAATATCACTAATACGATACTTTCAAGTTTAAAAGGTTTATGTCGTATTAATCTCATATTTTATTTAAATCATAACATTTCTTAATTACCTAAAATAGAATTTTAATATTAATATGAAATTTTATAGATTGATTAGTTATATGTACATCCGTTAAACCATTTTTTGTGTATATTTGATTTGAGGTAATCTAAACTAGTTTATGCATACCTCAATTTTCAAAACTCTTGAAATTAAATTGAAAATAGACCTTCAACAACTACCCTCTATTAGTAGTCTTAAACCATATTTTTATTCCTAAAGTTTCTTTCTTTAGCTAGAATTCATGTCTTATGGTGTTGTCTCTTTAACGTGCTCCGTAATTACAGTTTGCCGGTGGGTTAATAAGAATGTTTAACTATCAATGAAACCAGGGTACCACGTACACAAAGAAACAAAAGTAGTTGCACAAGATCCCAAGCTTTAACTACGTGTAAACACAAATCTTCTTACTTGTCACACGCAAGAAGCGAGTCTTGTCTTCAACCATACACTCGCAACTACCGAAATCATTATCAAACGAGTTTCAAAGCCAGTATACTCTTCGCTGTCTCTCTTGTATGGTAATAAAATCTGTTTCGTCTCTCTCTCACTTTGCTCTTTCATGAAGAAAAATTGATCCTTTCGCGTTCATATTACTTGTGTCCTAAGATTTCTTGAAGAAAAATAGTCAAACCTTGAAAGAAACTTAGCATGAAATCTTGTTTTTAACTTTTATCAGGTTTGTTCATCTGGGTTCTATTTGTTTTCTGTTTTCCTTCATGGGTTTGGTTCCAATTTTTTTTGTTGTATTAGGGAGTAAATACTTGTGCGGCAATGCAATAAATGTGTTCTTATAGGTTAAAGTTTGTTTCCTTATCGTTGTTTTGAATATATGTGTTGTAAATTTGATTGAACAGTGTTTTCATTGCTGGTTTTTTTGATAGTTAACAGTTTTATTTGATTTGGTTATTGTGAAAGTGGGTTCTTTTCTCTTTTGGGTTCGGTATTTTGTTCTGTATTTTGATTGAATACTAGTTTTTCATTTCCGGGCTCCTTAGTTTTTCGTTTCCGGGTTCTTTGTGATTTTATGTTCTTGTTAACAAATTTTGATAACAAAGAATTATATGGTCATTGTTCTGTGGTTTATATTTGTGTTCATTTTGGCCTCATTCTAGATTATTTTGTCTTTTTATATTTGTCAGATTTTGCATTGGATTTTGATGTTAATGCAGGCTAAGCCACATAAAATGGTGATTTGATGGTGGGTTCTTGTTTTTTTTCCTATCAGCATAGGATCTGAGCTTGAGTTCTTGATTGTGGTATTGGTTTTTGGAATCTGGGATTAAAGGTTGTTGCAAAATTTTGTCAAAGTTTGCTGTTGTTTGAAGAAGTTTGGCATACAGTTACTGGTCTCCGTATTATCGGTTGGCGGAGATGTCAAGCTATGTTGGAGTTCTTGTCTCTGATCAATGGCTTCAAAGCCAGTTCACACAAGTTGAGCTTCGCAGCCTCAAGTCTAAAGTAAGTTTATCTTGTTCAATTTCATAGCAATTTATTGTTTGATTTATAGGAATTTAGTCAATTTTGTTTTTGAAATTAGATTTGGGAAATTCATGTGCTGACCCTTTTTGCAACTTTAGTGTGACTTGTATCTTTTATTTTTCGGGTTTTGTAGTTTATATCTATAAAGAATCAAAATGGAAAGGTTACAGTGGGAGATTTGCCACCTTTGATGGTGAAATTGAAGGCTTTTAGTACTATGTTCACAGAGGAGGATATCAAGGGGATCTTGGCAGAGTCATATCCTGACACAAGCGATGAGATTGGTTTTGAAGCTTTTCTTAGGGTAATTCATGATACTGCGTTATCTTATTTTTCATTATTCATTCTGTATCAAATTAAACGTTATGGAATGGGCAGGCATATCTGAATTTGCAAGGTCGAGCTTCCACAAAATTGGGCAATGCGAAGAACTCTTCATCGTTTCTTAAGGCTGCCACGACCACGCTTCTTCACACAATTAGTGAATCAGAGAAAGCATCATATGTTGCTCACATAAACAGCTATCTTGGGGATGATCCTTTTCTGAAGCAGTTTCTTCCCTTAGACCCAGCTACGAACGATTTATTTGAGCTTGCAAAAGATGGAGTTCTTCTATGGTACCTAAGCAGGGCCTGCTTAATTGCACTCTACTTTGCTGTGTCAGCTAAAGCTGATATTCAGTGGTGTCGGTGTTGATTTTATCTTGTTGTTTGCTGCAGTAAGCTAATTAATGTTGCTGTGCCCGGAACAATAGATGAACGAGCTATCAACACAAAACGGGTACTCAACCCATGGGAGAGGAATGAGAATCACACTCTGTGCCTCAACTCTGCAAAGGCTATTGGCTGTACAGTGGTTAACATTGGTACACAGGATCTGATTGAAGGAAGAGTAAGTTTGGCTTATTCAGATTTTTCGGACAAATTAAATTGCCGTGTTTAGTAGGCTGAGGGTTTTTCCTATTTTGTTTGTATTTTTTGTAGTCTCATCTGGTACTTGGATTGATTTCCCAAATTATAAAGGTATGCCTCCAAACTTCACTCTAATATTGACTCACATAGAGTTGTGTAACTTTTGAAACAGGAAAATTCTGTTTAAGGTCCTAGTGTTGGGAATTGGGATGTGTTTTCTCACTTTTCTGTTTGCTCTTTCTTCATTACTGTGGTACCTTCAGATCCAACTGTTAGCAGATCTCAACCTTAAGAAGACACCTCAACTTGTGGAATTGGTGGAAGACAGCAGTGTAACGAAATTTTGTTTATTGATGTCAATATGCCCAATAGAACTTATTCATTGAGATGTTATGTGTCCATATCTTATCATGCATCTTATATATTTGCAGGATGTTGAGGAGCTTATGGGATTGGCCCCTGAGAAAGTCTTATTAAAATGGATGAATTTCCATCTGAAAAAGGCAGGATACAAGAAACCTGTCACAAATTTTTCTTCTGATTTGAAGGTATTTTGCTTCCTAAGCTGTGGATCCTATAGCGCTCATGATATGTTATGTCTAAGACAGTTGTATGTTATTGCTTTGTCTTCCATTTATTGTACCATTTCTCCACATAATTTTTTTTTCCTGCTAGCAATTGGAATGATGATTAATCATGTTTGCGTTACAGAACAGTTAAATGTTATTCTAAGATGCTTATATTGATTTCTTCTGCTAATGTACTTGCAGGATGGTGAGGCTTATGCTTACCTGCTTAATGTTCTTGCACCGGAACACTGTAGTCCAGCCACATTAGATACAAAGGATGCCAGTGAAAGAGCTAAACTGGTACTTGACCATGCTGAGAAGATGGACTGCAAACGATATTTAACCCCAAAAGACATAGTTGAGGGATCAACAAACTTGAATCTTGCATTTGTGGCACAAATATTTCATCAAAGGTGAAAATGAACAAAAGTATTGCATATTGATGTTTTATGCAACTCTTTATGCATTCCTTTTATTTTTTTCCTTTCTGATTTGGTTGGAAACATTTGCTGAAGTTCATTTTCTTTGAGCATGATATGTTGTAGAAGTTCTTAGAATAGACTTTGGGCATGTACTTCATACCAATGTCATTAGTAATGTAGATGCTAAAGGATTTTTGTACTGTTGCAGGAGTGGCTTGACTACAGATAGCAAAAATGTTTCATTTGCGGAGATGATGACAGATGACGTGCTTACATCTAGAGAAGAGAGATGCTTTCGACTGTGGATTAACAGTCTTGGAGTTGCTACTTACTGTAATAATGTGTTTGAGGATGTCAGGACTGGGTAAGTGTTTGTTTGTTAGCAATCCTCGCCATTGTGCCTTTCACGGATAGAATATAGCATCTATTATTACAAATTCAACTGATCATCAAGACGCTTGAATTCATTCTGGATAATTTCATGAAGGGTGGATCAGTTTTTGTTTTTTTGTAATAGGAGATCATATAGGGGATCATTCATGGTTTCTCTTATAAATTCATTCATGAACAGTTTTGGCATTCCAATTTTTGTGGACTTCTATAATCTCTGAATTTCGTAATTCGACCATATGTGACGCTATTGGAAAGGCTAATCTTCTAAGGGAAGTAATGTAGCTGCTTAATCCAAAGAATTCTAATTGTGCATGCAGATGGATACTTCTAGAAGTACTAGACAAAGTTTCCCCTGGATCAGTTAACTGGAAGCATGCATCAAAGCCACCCATTAAGATGCCGTTTAGAAAAGTAGAGAATTGCAATCAAGTTGTAAGGATTGGAAAGCAATTGAAATTTTCCCTTGTGAATGTTGCTGGAAATGATATCGTACAAGGAAATAAGAAGCTCATACTTGGTAATGTCTCTGTCTTGTCTTTATTGCTATATTTTCAAATGATTCCATATCCTGCTTCACGATTTTGTACCTTTATGAACTTGTCACATAAAATGTTTTGAAATCAAAACTTTGGGAACTTGGCGGGTGAGACGAGTCTCTTGAGATTTTGAAATTTTATTCAAACAGTTGGGTTTTAGACAAAACTTCTAATCTAATCCAATCATTTCTTTGGTATTTCTTCTGCCACTTTGGACATAATCAAAACTTCGTTTTCTTTCACTCTCGTACTCCATAGAAAGGAGACCTTTGTTACTGACTATGAATTCCGAACTTCAGAATCCTATTGCATGAGAGTTTTTACTCGCACAAAAGCTCAAAGTTTGTTATGTCTGTTTCAGCTTTCCTATGGCAGTTGATGAGATATAATATGCTTCAGCTGTTGAAAAACTTGCGATCCCGCTCCCAAGGGAAGGAGATCACTGATGCAGATATTCTTAATTGGGCAAACAACAAAGTCAAAAGTACTGGCAGAACTTCTCAAACGGAGAGCTTCAAGGTTAAACAAAGTTTAGCATTGTTTTGTTTTTTCAGTATTTAACCTGTATTTAGAACTATGATTTACTTGTGCATACTTGGATTCTTCAGGATAAGAGTCTGTCTAGTGGATTATTCTTCCTTGAGCTTTTAAGTTCCGTGGAGCCGAGAGTGGTGAACTGGAATCTTGTCACCAAGGGTGAAAGTGGTATGATGCTCTATTATTTTTGTATAATATTTTTTAGCATATAAGAATAAAAATCCCTTTTCTCAACTGATAGAAACACGGTATATAAGCTCAATGTTTCTTATAATTTTTTTGTATGATTGATATGACAGACGAGGAAAAGAGGTTGAATGCTACATACATAATTAGTGTGGCTCGAAAACTCGGCTGTTCCATTTTCTTGTTACCTGAGGACATCATGGAGGTATGAATGCAAGTGTAACCTAATGGTATTAGTATCAATTTGATTTGGACAAAACCTGCACAGTTCTAGGAAATTTATCAACAAAGTAAGAAACATAATGAGCTTATGGTTCTATTTTCTCATGATGTTTTGGCAGGTAAACCAGAAGATGATCCTCACATTAACCGCCAGCATTATGTACTGGAGCCTGCAACAACATGTGGAAGAGGCAGAGTCATCTCCCTTCTCCTCGCCTGCACCTTCCCCAACCTCGGCTAACGGCCATGGTTTGGCTACTCCTGAGGCATCCCCAGCTAACAGTGTGGCTACTCCTGAGGCATACTCGGCTAACAGTGTGGCTGCTCTTGAGGCATCCCCGGCTAACAGTGTGGCTACTCTTGAGGCGTCCCCGGCTAACAGTGTGGCTACTCTTGAGGCATCCCTGACTAATGGCCATATTATGGCTACTCCTGAGGCGTCCCCAGCACCGTCTATTAGCGGTGAAGATGAAACCTCATCTCTGGGTGGTGAAGTTTCAAACTTGACCATCGAAGAGGCTACCTCCTCTCTGGGTGGTGAAGTTTCAAATTTGACCATCGATGATACGGCTTCCTCTGTGGGTGGTGAAGTTTCAAACTTGGCCAATGACGATGTAGCGTTCGACTCCACAGTCTCTTCTCAGGTCGATAATGAGGATGTGCCTGTCAGATAATGAACACAGAATACGTCCACGCGATTGGATATGATAGAAATAAGAAAGAAAAATGAACATATTTACAGTTAGGTAAAACCTACTATCTCTTTACCCTATCTGGAGAATACAGGGGAAAGAATTTTGTGAAGTTTGTTATACCTAAGAAAGAGGTGCTGCCAATATATTTTTTTTATTATTTTGGTAGACTATTTCAGATGTATTCTTTGACAATAATAGCATTTGATAATGTTGAATAATGTAAATTAGTAAACATAATTTTGTATGAACAAGGATTACTTTATAAATTCTTGATATTTCTTTGCTTAACTGCTATGTTCATCTCAGAATCAACAGAATTTTGATCTATACATGTTTTGTGGTAAATAGAACAATTCTTGTGGTAGATTGAACATCAAGACGCAATTTTGCTGATTATGAAGAGCTTACAATATCTACCCAATCACAGGGGCTAAAATGATAGTAGCAATAATTACGGGAGTGTTACAGTTTCAACTAGAAGGGTGAGTTTATATTATAGAAAACTTCATCGGTTTTAAAGTAATTTTTCAAAACCAGCCTTGTCAGTTTCCAGATGGGTTGACAGGGGAAACCCCAATTATTAACCGCTGTCAGGACAAAACTAACTGAATAGTATCATTTGACTACATAAAGTCTATTTTGCCCTTAAACTTATAAATTAAAAATTAAATAAATGTCAAAAGAGAGGAGATGAAGCAAATTTGATTAGGATTTTAGAGGTTTTTTATTTTATTTTATTTTTTTTAATTTTTCGTTCAAATTACTTTCTTACCCTTAATCTGTTCAAGACTCAAATGGCCCCACATGTCCACGTCAGCCTTCCGATGAAGTAGCGGTACGAATTCCCATTCGATTTAAATTTTAATCTCTCTTTCACGAGTTTTACTAGAGATTTTCTCTGGCGATTTAGGTTTCAATTACTTTCAAAATAATTAGAGCTCTTAAGCTTTAACGAATCACTCCACGCCGAAACCTTGAACTCATCGTTGGGTTAGTAATCCAGTGAGTGTAATTTTTTTTTTTTTTTGGGTTATTTATTGATTTTATTTTTTATTATTTGTTTGTGATCGACGGTTTAAGTTTCTGTTTGGTTACTGGAAAAATTTTCGAAGAGGGAAAAAAATGTGAAGTAAAGATAATTGAAGTGCTTATTTTATCCTCTACCACTTCAGTATTATTATTAAACCGGGAAAGAAAATGACAAAATTAGGAGAAGAAAAAAATTAGAATGAAAGCACTGCTGAGGCAAAACCCTAGTTCGTTAGATGTTAGTTTAGTTTGTCATGAAGAATCCATCTGTTTTAAACTTATTGTTGGGTTGATCATCAGGTAAGTGTAAAATTTGTTTTATTATTTATTGATTTTAGTTTTATTTTTTTGTTTGTGATCCCGGTGCAATTTCCTGTTTTGTTATTGAGAAAATTTTTGAAGAGGGAAAAGAAAGTGAAGGAAAGAAAATTAAACTGCTTAGTTAGCCTCTGCCACTTCAGTTTTACTATTAAACCGTGAAAAAAAATTACAAAATTGGAAGAAGCAAAAAAAATTGGTTGGTGAAACCCTAGAGGTGGCCTTTTTTTTTTTTTTTTAACACTGATTGTGGATGCTTTTTTGTTTAGTGTTTAGCGAATTTTGATTATTATTCATTGCTTTTTAGTTCCTTAACTTGCTTGTGAATTTTAAAGTTTTAATGTGTTGTTTTAGGTGCAATTGAGAAGAAAAGGATGTATGATGGCATCTTCGGATGACGAGAGTGACGTTGGGCCAGTCTCCAATTACCATTTTGTAGATGAGAGAGATGAGCCCATTTCATTTTCTGTGTTGCCAGTTCAATGGGGTGAGGATGAGATTGCTAGTGGCAACAAACTACATATATTCTTACATGGAACTGCTGATAACGGACTCCAAAAGATTTATAAGCGTGTAGTAGCATGGAAATTTGATCTTACAAATGTGACTCCTGAGGTATATGTGCTTTCTAAAGAAAAAAGTTGGATAAAACTTCAAAAGCCTAGGAAAAGCTTTGAAGAAATTATTAGGACAATATTGATTACAGTGCATTGCCTTTCATATGCAAAAAGAAATCCAGAAGCAACTGAGAAATCTAGTTGGGACCACTTATCTAAGATCTTTAGGTATAATTCTAACTTGTGAAAAGTTTGGGTTTCATCTTGTTTGACCTTTGTCATTATTTTTCTGATAGTTTTTTTTTGGTTTGTAGCTTGTATGAGGTGAGACCTTCACAAAATGATTTGGTGGACCACATGGATTTTGTCAGTGAAGCTTTTAAAAGGGATGATATGTTAGCAAAGTCTAAGGTTTGTGTGTCTTTTCTGACTCATTGTCACCTGAATTATTATGTGCAATGATCATCTTATCAAGTTATATGATGGCAATTATATGGTATGAACAGTTTCTTCTCAAATTTTTAGAAGAGAAGCCGAGGAAGAGGAGACTATCTGATGAGGTTTTACTTTTGTGCTTCTCTGCTTGGCTATTCTTTGCTCATTTGTCTCTCTGAACCATTATTACTCTTTTCTTTTAGTATTTATTTTCAAAATTTAACATTGTTGAGCAAGTCCTCTGACTGATTTTTCAGGATCTTCAATCTGTGATCAGATCTGGATTTATAGTTGATGATCAAGATGATCTGATCGACGACGCAGGGGACGATGAGTCCAATGAAGAGGAAGACTTATTTGATTCTGTTTGTTCAATTTGTGATAATGGTGGTTCACTTCTATGGTATGAGATTTTCATTAGTTAATGATCTAGTTATATGCTACTACCTTTACTTTATGACTCAACATCTTTATATTAATTGGTGTCTTAAGCTAGACTGATATTTTGTGCTCTGGTGTATACTTTCTTGATGGTTTCATCATTATCATCACCATTGTTGCCCTCATCAATATCATGTTGTTGTCAAACTTATTGACATCATTATCGTTGTTATCAATGCTGTCAGTCACCACTGTAAGAGTTTATCAGCTTGTTTATCAGATTATATTTCTGCTTGGCTCATGTCACCATGAATTCTGTACATCATAGATGTGATAAGGCACCTGTTTTAGTTCTATCTGATCTTCCCTCTAAAAAATGTTAAGATAGTGCAAAAACTTGATACAAGCTTCTCTTTACATATGTTTACTTTTAGTTGTTCCTTCCCTTTTTTTATTTTTATTTATTTATTTATTTATTTTGGTATGTTAATATTTGATGAATTTGATTCTGATATCTTACAGTTGTGAAGGGAGGTGCATGAGGTCATTTCATGCAACTGTAGAGGATGGTGAAGAATCGCGCTGTGTGTCTCTCGGCCTTACTATGGATGAAGTGGAAGTATGGTTCTGCTTCCTATTTAAAAAGTATTTTATTTGTTCTTTAGTAACTGTATGGCTGTATCTTTTAACTCGTTTTTTCCCCTCAATGAGGCAGGCAATTCAGAACTTCTTCTGTAAGAATTGTGAATATAAGCAACATCAGTGCTTTATTTGTGGGAAGTTAGGTTCCTCTGATAAGGCTTCTGGTGCAGAGGTATGAGTTATGTTAATTTGACTGCGAATTTCCATTTTATATTGGGTTTCTTTTTGGATTTACAAAATATCTGCTTTCATATTTTTGGTTGTTAGCATCACACCATGATTAAGTGTTGTTTTTGTGCACATCAATATCATATGTATGGTTCCTTCTGCTTCCACGTTCAAAGAACAAGGTCTAACAGGTGTCTCTGGAGTGGTAATTTTAGCTTAGTTGGTGAAAAATAAGTTTGGCTGGTAATCAACCACCCCCTACCTTCCCAAAAATGAAAATAAAAATAAATTAATTAATAAAACAAGAGTAAAAACCCAAAATCAGCTAATTTTTTGAATTAGCATTGTGCATGGTGTTTTCTATTGCTTTTGTAATGTTATATTGGGGGGTGTTTCTAGTTTTTACCAGACCCGTCTTTGTCCACAGGGTGCCTTTCCATGCTTTTTTTCTGTGTCTTGTTTTGGGAATTTGTTACTGAGTGGCGATTCTCTTGTTCTTATCACTTGATGAGTAATGTGCTTCTCCATACAATGTCCCCACTTTTCCTGCTCCATTATTTCTCTATGTCATTGGTATTGTGGGAGCCTCACTGTCCTGCTTTTCTGCATTACTTCATTTCTAATTTCAACTTTCCTTGGTATTTCGTAAACTTATAAAATAATAGGAAGTCTGTTTCCATAATAGTTTTCTGTACAAGAAGTCTTGCATGGTTGGATATATTGTAGTTTGTTACCCTGAACATCTTATTCATGCTTTTTGTTACCCTGAACATCTTATTCATGCTTGAGTCACTAGCTTCACAGTTTTGAGACAATCAACTTTTTGTTAATTTGTTGATCCTCTATCTTTAATTAGAAATGCATTATGATGTTTTAAATCTTATCTTCTTCTACCTCTATTTTCAGGTTTTTCCTTGTGTTTCCGCGACCTGTGGTCGTTTTTATCATCCCGATTGTGTCTCAAAATGGCTTTTGCGGGGTGATGAAGTTGCTGTCGAACAGCTTCGGAAAAGCATTTTTGCAGGAGAATGTTTTACGTGTCCTTCTCACAAATGCTATGTTTGTAAACAAGGAGAGAATAAGATGGACGGAGATCTGCAGTTTGCTGTGTGCAGGCGGTGTCCCAAGGCATACCACAGGAAATGCTTACCAAGGTACTACGGTTTTTTTCTCTCATTTCCTAANGGTGTTTTCTATTGCTTTTGTAATGTTATATTGGGGGGTGTTTCTAGTTTTTACCAGACCTGTCTTTGTCCACAGGGTGCCTTTCCATGCTTTTTTTCTGTGTCTTGTTTTGGGAATTTGTTACTGAGTGGCGATTCTCTTGTTCTTATCACTTGATGAGTAATGTGCTTCTCCATACATTGTCCCCACTTTTCCTGCTCCATTATTTCTCTATGTCATTGGTATTGTGGGAGCCTCACTGTCCTGCTTTTCTGCATTACTTCATTTCTAATTTCAACTTTCCTTGGTATTTCGTAAACTTATAAAATAATAGGAAGTCTGTTTCCATAATAGTTTTCTGTACAAGAAGTCTTGCATGGTTGGATATATTGTAGTTTGTTACCCTGAACATCTTATTCATGCTTTTTGTTACCCTGAACATCTTATTCATGCTTGAGTCACTAGCTTCACAGTTTTGAGACAATCAACTTTTTGTTAATTTGTTGATCCTCTATCTTTAATTAGAAATGCATTATGATGTTTTAAATCTTATCTTCTTCTACCTCTATTTTCAGGTTTTTCCTTGTGTTTCTGCGACCTGTGGTCGTTTTTATCATCCCGATTGTGTCTCAAAATGGCTTTTGCGGGGTGATGAAGTTGCTGTCGAACAGCTTCGGAAAAGCATTTTTGCAGGAGAATGTTTTACGTGTCCTTCTCACAAATGCTATGTTTGTAAACAAGGAGAGAATAAGATGGACGGAGATCTGCAGTTTGCTGTGTGCAGGCGGTGCCCCAAGGCATACCACAGGAAATGCTTACCAAGGTACTACGGTTTTTTTCTCTCATTTCCTAATTGTCATCAGAATATGGTGTTTCAATGGAATTTTGATGCTTGAGACTTGAATGTTTTCATCAGGGACATTGTATTTCAGGGCGAAGAAGAAGAAGGCGTAATAGCCAGAGCTTGGACGGATCTATTGCCTAATCGCATTCTGATATATTGCTTGTAAGTATTTACATGAGTTGCTTTTCTTCTTCATTTTGTTGGCTTTGAACTTGCTAATCTTTTGTTTGGACAGGAAACATGAGATTGTTGAAGAAATGGGAACTCCAATTCGAGATCGTGTTATTTTTCCTGGTATGGAACTAAAGAAGACAATTGTTCAGGGACTGAAACGAAAACAGACGTCAGCCATACCTGCAACCAAGGAGAAATTTGTGTCAGTGAAAAGAACTCTCAACTCAAAAGCCAGCTCCCAGGGAAAACTTGCTGTGAATGTGCCTAAACGTTGTCCTTCTGTCTTGGAGGAGGGTGAATCTGCTAGAAAAATTGAAAAGCTACCTGGTGGATCAGACCCCTCTTCGAAAATTAGATCAAAAGATGCTCCCAGAAAGACTGTGAAGGAAAATGTGAGGTCTGTCTCACTGGAGGTAGATAGGTCCTGCATGGTTGATGTGAAGAGAACCTCCCTGGCTCCTGTCAGTGAACCTCAGAAGAGTGTAACTGTTAAACCTGCCAAAAAGATGTTGAGGAGTGAGCTGCCTTCATTAGATGCTGAAACAGAAAGGAGGTGATCCTATTTTAGTATTGCCTGCTTTTACAATAATTACATCACTTGTGTTTAACTTTATCTAAAGCACTAGACACATACAGTGGCAGACTGACTGAGTCTGAAGTGTGATCCATTCACTATATTGTGTCTTATTCTGTGATTTATTTATTACAATGTAGGTTACTGTCCTTGATGAAAGATGCTGCTTCAGAAGTAACTTTGAAAGACATTCAAAAAAAGCACAAAATTCCATCTACGCATTCAAACTCATTAAAAGCAGTTGTGGACAGGGCCATCTCCATGGGAAAGGTGGAGGGCTCAGTTGAGGTATATATACTCATTTTTAAAGTGTGACCCATTGCTGTAGATGAGGATATTTTTACTTCCTACCCTTTTTGAACATGTATAGTTTGTAATTTTATTGTATATGCAGGCTGTTCGAACTGCTTTAAAGAAGCTAGAGGAAGAAGGAAATAGTATTGAAGATGCAAAGGCTGTTTGTGAACCTGAGGTTATCAATCAGATCTTTAGGTGGAAGGTGGTTGCCAATTCTTATTTTTATTACCTTATCACCAATAAGGATTTATTGGGTTTTCTAGCATACTTTGTGGAGGATTTGCCTTTTTTTTTTGGGCATTCATTTGAATTTACTTAGCTCTTCTCTTCAACTTTTCATTCTTAAGTTTATTTGATTCTTTTCTCACTGTTTCTTTTTTTTTTTTTTTAACACTCTTTATTCATATTGCTTTAGAGCAAACTTAAAGTGTATCTCGCTCCCTTTTTCCACGCTGCACGGTATACATCATTTGGTCGCCATTTTACTAAAATGGAGAAACTTCAAGAGGTGAGTTAATCTCTTCAATTCCTCTTGGTTTTCTTGTATTTATACTTGCTTTAGTATTTCCTTAATCCATTAGATGTTGTTTGCTTATAAGTTCAATTGGCCCTTTATAAATTCTGTTTATATCTTGTTTACATGGCTGATTACAGACATGTAAATTCTGTTTTTCAAAATGAGATATAAAACATTCATGTTAATGATACAATTATAGTAGCTCAATGGTTTTGTATGATATAGTTAAGAGAGCAAATGTTGACTTCCAAAATTGTGTTCAGATTCATTATAACACAGAGGTTTTTCCTTTAAATATTCTTTATCTTTTGTTGACTCTTTCAATCAATGTTACCTTTTTGATGTTTAATTCTAAGTTGTGGGAAAGGGGAATGGACTATGGAGGACAATACTTGTGGTAGAGGGGTAATTTACAACCAGGGAAATCAATCCCATACCTTTTAGAATACAGTACCTTGTGGGCCAAGAAAAAGGAAAGGATAGGAGAGGGTAATCTTGGTGGGATGAATGGAGTATGTTCATGTATAGTCTTTTGCAGTTCAGATATTGATTTCTCATATATTGTCAATATATGTCAATATGTTACCTCATGCTGACTATATATTTTGTTAGCTATTCCGTAATTGTTGTTTTCATTATCAGTGTTATTTTATTTTTGATATGTATATAATCACGTCCATTAAGATTGAAGAATGCTGAAGTATGATATCTGATTCGCAGGTGGTGGATAAACTCCATTGGTATGCGCAAGATGGAGACATGGTCAGACTTTTTATGCCTTTTTTTTTTTTTTTTTTTTAATAACAGATGAAAACTAGAATATCTTAACAGAATTTAAATAAATTATGAGGCAATCACATAGCAGTAGCATTTTAGTTTGTATAAGATATTTGTTAGTATAGTATTTCTTGTCTTTGAAATTGCAGCTGTACTCACATAAAATATGCAGATTTCTTTATCATGTAAATTTGATTGTTTTGAGTGAGGGTGGGTGATATTTCAAGTGTGTTATGATTCAATTTGTTCCCAGTTTAAGTAACATTTAGTGATTCCCATGTAGTTTATCATCAAGTTTGACATTTATTTTCACATCAATAGTTTTATGTCAATTGCCTGATTATTTGTTCTCCTTTGAACAGATTGTTGATTTCTGCTGTGGCGCTAATGACTTTAGTTGCCTATTGAAAAAGAAGCTTGAAGAAACTGGGAAGACATGCTTGTACAAAAACTTTGATATTTTGCAAGCTAAGGTAACATTCGGTTCGCTGACTTATCTATAGTTCAACTGTACCCAGTGTTTTTATATGGACCCAGTAGAAAGAATTTTCCGGTCAAAAAGCTTGCATTTAAAATAATTGGAATTAGTAATATTATTGGCATACTTCTTCTTGAAATGTGCCCACATATTTTTATTCTGTATGATTCATCCTCTTAATATAAAATTTTGCATAGAAACAGGTTGTCTTTCAGATTAGGTATTAATTTATTTTTTTTTTCTTCTAATTATTAGTTTTTGAGACAATGAAATACAGTCAATAATCACTGAGTCTCTGTTCTTGGTTCTCCGGTTTCCTTTTTTTGTCTTTTTAATATAAAGTTAATTATTGTGTAATCTTTTTTATATTGGATTATTGTCATTACTTTGTTCTATGTGCTCCTCCTATTCGCTATTGGGTGTATGTGCACATGTTTGTGCTCTTGTATTGTTAATTTGTTGTTTATATCTTCTTTTCTGGCAGAATGACTTCAATTTTGAGAAGAGAGACTGGATGACAGTTGGACCAGAGGAGTTAGCTCCAGGGTCCCAATTGGTAATGAAAGATAATACATCTTTTTTAGGAATAAGAATTCCATCATTAGTTTCAGAAACTTGTTGGAAACTGCTTTACAATATCTTATTTGTGCTTTTTCAATAGATTATGGGACTAAATCCTCCTTTTGGGGTTAGAGCGTCTTTGGCAAACAAATTTATTAATAAAGCTCTGGAGTTTAACCCAAAGCTCCTTATTCTGATTGTTCCTCCAGAGACAGAAAGGTACTGACATGCTCTGTTGCACTCTCTCTCTCTCTCTCTCTCTCTGTGTTTGTCTGCCAGTCTCACATGCACCCATTTGCTTCCTTCGACCAGGTTGGACAAAAAGAAAACACCTTATGATCTGGTTTGGGAGGATGATCAGTTTCTCACAGGAAAGGTAAGCTAGAACGATTTGTGAACTTCATTGTGGTTTACTTGTAAGTATTCTTTTCTTTTAAATGTGTGTTTTTATGGTGGCTTATTGTGGCACCTTCCTTTTCAGTCATTCTATCTTCCCGGATCTGTTGATGAGAATGGCAAACAAATGGATCAGTGGAACTTAATAGCGCCACCGCTCTATCTGTGGAGTCATCGTGATTGGGCTGCTGGACACAAGGCTATAGCTGAGAAGCATGGTCACATATCCAGGCAACAGGAAGCATCAGATTCAGAAAGAAACTGCAATGAGACACATAACCTTGATCATCCAGTGGAGGATGGTCATGGTCATGATGATGATACCTCCATGGCGACGGATGTTCCTTTGCAAAATGTTCATGGTGAATATGTTGATACCTCCATGATGGCAGATCTCCGTTCAGAAAATATTCTTGGTCATACCTCCACTCTGGCAGATCTTCCTCAAAACATTGAAATGGAGAAACCCATGCAAATAGCAACAACTTATGAACGAAGATCCCCTGACAAAATCATTGGAGGAGAAAGCAATGGCAGTGATGGCTCTGGGGAGAACCAGTCTAAGAAGACTCCAAGGAAGAGGAAGCGTGGTAAGCAAAAGGCTGGAAGAGGAATGAGTGAAAAATCTCCATTGGACAAACAGAATGTTGGAAGGAATCTGGGAAGTGAGAAATACAAGGGAATTGCTCAAAGTCCCCCGGCCAACATGATTGATGGAAGATCCTCAATGGAAGGTCACCCATCCAAATGTGATAAGATACCTTCAAATGTTGGATGTGGCGAAATTGATTATTATCATTTTGGTGACAAGAGAATGCCTCACTGTTCCCCAGCCCATGTGATTGACAGTATATCCCCACTCGAGGGTCATTCTTCCAAATCTATTGAAGTGCCTCCGCATGCTGGATTTTGCGATGATGGTTATCAACATTTTGGTGACAAGGGAATGCCTTACCCTTCACCACTCAACATGATCGATGGAGTGTCTTCATTGGAGGGCCATCCATCCAAATCTTTTGACATACCATCACATACTGGAGTTGGCAAGAGTTATCGACATTTTGAGCCTACCAACTCTGATTCACATATGCAGTTTGGATCAGCCTATCGTGGGAACACCCTGGCTAGCTTTCCTGATGACATGGGGTGGAGGTACGGCATGAACAATAATGACCCTTATTCAACTCATAGATTTCGTGGTGGTTCCAATTTGGGGGAACAGTTTCAATTTTATGAGCAAGAACTAGTGTCATCTCCCCCTGGATATGGTCAGATGGGAGCATTTCCGTCTCCTACATATGGGCATCTAGGTTCAGTACCTGAGGCATCTTACAGGATGAATTTGTCAGCCATGGACCGATACAGACCTCGATTGGATGGTTCAAATCACCAAAGCATAAGTGCTTTGAGGTCAGAACCACCCATGTTGCCTAGAACAAGCTTTAATGATCCTAGAGCACCATCCCATGCAGGATCCCCTTTTGGCATTGGTTTTGCTTCTGGTCCTTACCAACCGGGTACTCGAGGTTGGTTGGATCCGTGATTCAGATCTTCTGCTGACCAACTCCTTTGAGGTACGAGCTAGTAGGATTTAACAGTTAGTTTGTAGAGAAATACTATATTATTAGGGCTGTGAAATTATTACTAGTTGGTATTAGTATATGTCATCCGAGATTCTGATAGATGGTTGCTCAAACAACATATAAGCCCTCGCTTACCTAGAATGATGATCATCATGATGCTTACTCAAAAAATAAAAGGTACATTGAATAGTGTTTAAATGTTTTGTTATTTTTGGAATATTTTTTATCACTAAGCATTGATGCCATGAGAAGTGCTTTGGGGTGATTAATTTATTAAAACCATCACATGCGAATAGAATAATTTAAAGGAACAAGAGAATTCGCACCAAGTTGAGTGGACTTNCAGAAACTTGTTGGAAACTGCTTTACAATATCTTATTTGTGCTTTTTCAATAGATTATGGGACTAAATCCTCCTTTTGGGGTTAGAGCGTCTTTGGCAAACAAATTTATTAATAAAGCTCTGGAGTTTAACCCAAAGCTCCTTATTCTGATTGTTCCTCCAGAGACAGAAAGGTACTGACATGCTCTGTTGCACTCTCTCTCTCTCTCTCTCTCTCTGTGTTTGTCTGCCAGTCTCACATGCACCCATTTGCTTCCTTCGACCAGGTTGGACAAAAAGAAAACACCTTATGATCTGGTTTGGGAGGATGATCAGTTTCTCACAGGAAAGGTAAGCTAGAACGATTTGTGAACTTCATTGTGGTTTACTTGTAAGTATTCTTTTCTTTTAAATGTGTGTTTTTATGGTGGCTTATTGTGGCACCTTCCTTTTCAGTCATTCTATCTTCCCGGATCTGTTGGTGAGAATGGCAAACAAATGGATCAGTGGAACTTAATAGCGCCACCGCTCTATCTGTGGAGTCATCGTGATTGGGCTGCTGGACACAAGGCTATAGCTGAGAAGCATGGTCACATATCCAGGCAACAGGAAGCATCAGATTCAGAAAGAAACTGCAATGAGACACATAACCTTGATCATCCAGTGGAGGATGGTCATGGTCATGATGATGATACCTCCATGGCGACGGATGTTCCTTTGCAAAATGTTCATGGTGAATATGTTGATACCTCCATGATGGCAGATCTCCGTTCAGAAAATATTCTCGGTCATACCTCCACTCTGGCAGATCTTCCTCAAAACATTGAAATGGAGAAACCCATGCAAATAGCAACAACTTATGAACGAAGATCCCCTGACAAAATCATTGGAGGAGAAAGCAATGGCAGTGATGGCTCTGGGGAGAACCAGTCTAAGAAGACTCCAAGGAAGAGGAAGCGCGGTAAGCAAAAGGCTGGAAGAGGAATGAGTGAAAAATCTCCTTTGGACAAACAGAATGTTGGAAGGAATCTGGGAAGTGAGAAATACAAGGGAATTGCTCAAAGTCCCCCGGCCAACATGATTGATGGAAGATCCTCAATGGAAGGTCACCCATCCAAATGTGATGAGATACCTTCAAATGTTGGATGTGGCGAAATTGATTATCATCATTTTGGTGACAAGAGAATGCCTCACTGTTCCCCAGCCCATGTGATTGACAGTATATCCCCACTCGAGGGTCATTCTTCCAAATCTGTTGAAGTGCCTCCGCATGCTGGATTTTGCGATGATGGTTATCAACATTTTGGTGACAAGGGAATGCCTTACCCTTCTCCACTCAACATGATCGATGGAGTGTCTTCATTAGAGGGCCATCCATCCAAATCTTTTGACATACCATCACATACTGGAGTTGGCAACAGTTATCGACATTTTGAGCCTACCACCTCTGATTCACATATGCAGTTTGGATCAGCCTATCGTGGGAACACCCTGGCTAGCTTTCCTGATGACATGGGGTGGAGGTACGGCATGAACAATAATGACCCTTATTCAACTCATAGATTTCGTGGTGGTTCCAATTTGGGGGAACAGTTTCAATTTTATGAGCAAGAACTAGTGTCATCTCCCCCTGGATATGGTCAGATGGGAGCATTTCCGTCTCCTACATATGGGCATCTAGGTTCAGTACCTGAGGCATCTTACAGGATGAATTTGTCAGCCATGGACCGATACAGACCTCGATTGGATGGTTCAAATCACCAAAGCATAAGTGCTTTGAGGTCAGAACCACCCATGTTGCCTAGAACAAGCTTTAATGATCCTAGAGCACCATCCCATGCAGGATCCCCTTTTGGCATTGGTTTTGCTTCTGGTCCTTACCAACCAGGTACTCGAGGTTGGTTGGATCCGTGATTCAGATCTTCTGCTGACCAACTCCTTTGAGGTACGAGCTAGTAGGATTTAACAGTTAGTTTGTAGAGAAATACTATATTATTAGGGCTGTGAAATTATTACCAGTTAGTATTAGTATATGTCATCCGAGATTCTGATAGATGGTTGCTCAAACAACATATAAGCCCTCGCTTACCTAGAATGATGATCATCATGATGCTTACTCAAAAAATAAAAGGTACATTGAATACTGTTTAAATGTTTTGTTATTTTTGAAATATTTTTTATCACTAAGCATTGATGCCATGAGAAGTGCTTTGGGGTGATTAATTTATTAAAACCATCACATGCGAATAGAATAATTTAAAGGAACAAGAGAATTCGCACCAAGTTGAGTGGACTTTTTGGAGTTTGAACTATGAAAACACGTAGGCCGATTCCACTTATATTTAAATAAAAGATGAATAAATGAGACAATAACAGAGGCGAGCTTCTCCATGGATGGTGAGATCAAGCGCTTCATTCAGGTATGGACCTCGGCCATAACTTGTCTCTGCTATTGCTATTACATAACACCACGAATCCCTTCTGGTCTCTTGAGACTCCTTTCCCTCCTCCCCATCTTTTACCTCTTCATAGTCCTCCCCTTGAACCTCTCCTCCACCAATCTTGGCGGCTTCACTGCCTTTCTCCTCGTCTGGCTCACCAACTTCAAGCTCCTTCTCTTCTCCTTCGATCAAGGTCCTCTATCTCCACCCCCACCTAAGCTCTTCCACTTCATCTCCATCGCCTGCCTTCCCATCAAGATCAAACAAGAAGATGAAAATAAATCTCATGAAACTACGAAGTCAACCACTGTAAACCCACCAATTCCAAGGCGGGTTCTGTTGGGCATCAAGTTTGTGCTTTTGGGTTTCATCATTTATGCATATAATTACAAGCAATATTTGCACCAAAATGTTATTTTGGTGCTCTACTGTTGTCATGTTTACCTTCAACTTGAGATTACTTTAGCCATATGTGCAGCCCCCATTAGAGCCATTCTTGGATTTGAGCTTGAACCACAATTCAATGAGCCTTACCTTGCTACCTCACTGCAAGACTTCTGGGGCCGGAGGTGGAATCTCATGGTTACCGGTATTCTACGCCCCACCATATATGCTCCTATACGCCGGGTTTCTACTCACTTGATCGGGAGCACATGGGCTCCACTTCCAGCTGTCATTGCGGTATTTGTTGTATCGGGTTTGATGCATGAGATACTTTACAATTATATAACACGTGCACCTCCCACATGGGAGGTGACATCATTTTTCATCCTACATGGCATGTGCATGATCATCGAGGTGGCAGTTAAGAGGGCATTGACAGACAAGTGGCGGCTGCACCCAGCAGTTTCAGGGCCTCTGGTGGTGGCATTTGTATCAGTGACCAGCGTTTGGCTGTTTTGGCCGCAACTATTGAGGAATGGTGTGGATGACAGAACCATAAGGGAGTTCTTCAACACAAGAGATTTTGTCAAGAACAAATTCAAGTGGTAATGCAACATTCATATAAACTGGGAACATGACAATTAAAAAAAAAAAATTTATTTTCTCTTACTTTAATTGTTTTTCTAGGAAATGGGAATTGCTCTATTGTCTCTAGCTCATATTAAATATTCAACGATGTGATCTGGGCTTGAAATGGCCCATTTTTAATTTATTTTCATAAGCTGTCCCAGTCGCACAGTACAGAGAAATTAATAATAATTAAAACACGACTCTGCCCACTTCAATGGCTATCAGTTATTGAACCACCATTCCACCATCTCAAATTTATGTAATGAATGACGTGTTGAAATGTGACCTCTTCTTTCGGCTAATCCAAACAATAATTCATCAAACATGAATGATTAGAGATCTGCACAAACATAGAGAAAGGAGCTACAAACTACAAACTACAAAGGGAAGAGCCACAAAGAGATGGAAGGAGAGATCAAGAACTTAACCAAGGTATGGATTCTAGCCTTTACTTGTTTGAGCTACTGTTATCTAATAACATCAAGAATCCCAAAGGGTTTTTTAAGGCTCATCTCCCTCCTCCCAATCATCTACCTCTTCATCACTCTTCCTTTAAGCCTCTCCTCCTTCCATCTCACTGGCGTCACCTCTTTCTTTCTCACATGGCTTGCCAACTTCAAACTCCTCCTCTTTGCCTTCGGTCAAGGCCCCTTATCTCAACCCAATAAACTCTTCCATTTCGTCTTGTTAGCTTCTCTTCCCATCAAAATCAAACCAAACCCACCTCCCAAATCCAAAAATGACAAAAACCCATCTCCCCAAATCTCCAATCCAATCCAAAAATCACATCAATTTTCTAACTCTATCAAACTAGTCATCAAAATTGTACTTCTAGTTATGTTACTTCTAGTCTATGACTATAGGAAATATTTATATCACCATGTGATTTTAGCGCTTTATTGTTGCCACTTGTACATTGAACTTGAAATTGTCCTGGCGATTTGTGCCACCCCTGCTCATATTTTTGGCTTTGAGCTTGAGCCACAGTTCAATGAGCCCTATCTAACCACCTCACTGCAAGACTTTTGGGGCCGTAGATGGAACCTAATGGTCACGAATATTCTACGCCCTACTGTATACTTTCCTGTACAACATATATCTACTCTTATAGTCGGACAACAGCGGGCCCAGTTGCTAGGTGTCGTTGCCACATTCGTTGTCTCAGGTCTCATGCATGAGGCGCTTTATTATTATCTCACACGCATGTCTCCCACATGGGAGGTCACTGGGTTTTTCGTCGTACAAGGAGTGTGTGTAGCTGCTGAGATTTTGGTTAAGAAAGGCTTGGCTGACCGGTGGCAGTTGCCCTCGATGGTTTCGGGGCTGTTGACGGTGGTGTTCGTGGCGGTGACTGGTGTTTGGTTGTTTTTCCCTCAACTATTAAGAAGCAATTCTGATGAAAAGGCCCTAGGGGAGTTCTCTGTTTTGGTAGATTGTATCAAAAGAGTGCTAAGAATTGATAAATTAACAATTAATTAGAGTAAAGTTTAAGTGAAAATGAAAATGAAACCGATTATTGAGTGTATTGTAAGGATTCTTAAGTTAGTGCAACAGGAACAAGTTAAGAGTCCATAAATATAATTACACATAATGAGTGATTAGTGCTCAATTTGGTGCAATTTCTTTCCTTTTCTTCAGCTAACAAGTTCATCGTCTTACAACAAACATATTGTTTAATGATATTTTCGATTTTCTAAAATGTGAAAGTGTGAGTGAGTACAACTCCCATTTATTCTTAATCTAATTTTGTTTTCACAAAATGTGTGTGGTGTGTTTGGTTTGTTATTTTGAATAAGATTTTGAGATAGTATTGGATAGTTGAGTAGGGTGATTATTACGAGGTAAAATTTAAAATTTAACAAAAAAACCCATAAGTTTGTTAATTTAACTAAACACAGTGCCAAATTTTGGCAACCACCGCCGAAATTTGGTGTTACGACGCAGACTGGTCAAATAAAAGTCGAGTGATGCCATTATAAAGGCTGGCGATCGACGAGTGATGAGAGAGGATAATGGGTATGATTTTGAAGAGGAGAGGGTGGGGGTTCCAGTGGTGGCGACGAGAGTGATTTTGGGTGAGAAACAACCGAAAAAAGGGGAAAAACTAGCATCAACACGTGCTAACGTGCGTTGGAAACAGTCACCATGCTAACGTGTGCCGATACAAATATTTTGAAAAAAATTTATGTAACACGTCATCGGTTTGACCCACCGGTCAAATTGATTAAACCAATTAACCCAGGATCTGATCAGTTTGTTGGGTTTAGCCTCATGTTGGGTTTTAAAAAATTGATTATTTGCATAAAAAAAAATCGAATTAAATGAGTGTGATATTGACAAGTATGACTTTATATATCTTATGTTACAAACCTATAACAGGTTCAATATTATTGTATTTTCACAAAGTCCTAACGCTCATCTGTAACAGGTTCAATATTAAGTTTAGGTCTAAAAGAATCGTACTAACAGTTATACGTTGTACTATGCATTTTGATTTTTTGATTTCATTGAATCAAAAGTAATAAAATAGAGGAAGGAAAGTCACTTAATTAATTGAATAATACTTTGGGTACTAACGGATGGGTACTAATCTGTGTACTAACTAAAGCATAGTACGGGTACTATACGCAAAGTACGGGTACTATGCTTTAGTTAGTACACAGATTAGTACCCATCCGTTAGTACCCATAGCATCACTCTAATTAATTTCCATGCCTCTGTCCAGTTCCATTTTTCATGCCATTTTGCATAAAAGTCCTGTTATGGTGCAATTTTCAAACATAGCAATTATAAACCGAACCATACTATACTTACTCACCATCTTACTATCCTTTGTAAATATAACGCATAGTACTGGTACTATACGCATAGTACGGGTACCATGTAAAATTTAAACAAAGGTTGTAAGGGGATTAGTACAAGTCGTGAGTAAGCATAGTGTTTTTCTTATAAACCTCTCCTCTTGCAATCCATGATTTGATGATTACACTGCAGTATATTTTATAGTAAAAAAATATTATGACTTTACTTAAGCCAAACATTGTGGCAATTAGTCATTGACTTTGAGCTAAAGTTTTGAAATATTGTAAAAATAACCCCTAGAAATTCAATTAGTCCATACAGATTTGAAATATAGCAAAAACCCCCTAAAACCTAAACCAAACCGGAGAGACTGTCGAGTCCCAGTCTGATTGGTTCGACCGGCCGATCCGGGTTTTAAAACAAAGGGATAAACATGATTCTGGTACATCAAATTGGTTGAACTACCAAAATAAGTCCACTAATGCAACCAAATTTACAAAAATACTAAGTCCACTAGTGCAACCAAACTTATTATGATTAAGGAAACTGGATGGGTAATTTTCAAATGGTGATTGATAAGGAAGATTAAAAATCCCTTGAACAGAATAGCGATGCATGTTTATTTTATAAGAATGAAGGTTGAATTTTTCAAGTAATAGGCAAAGAAATGTAACAAAATATTTGAGAAAAGAAGGTGAAAACGTATAGAATAATAGTTGAATTGACCAAATATGTCATTTTTTCTTTTAATTTTTCTAGTTTATAAGTAACATCAATTTGTTAACCATATAGATTGAGACATATGTACCAAACAAACCTAGGGGTCTGTTTGGTATATTATTTGAAATAATATTCTATTATGAATAGGATATGATAGGATTTAATCAAATATGATAGAATTCTGAGAATGTGTTTGGTACATTTTTGGAAAACATTTTTTGAAAAAATTTAAATTATTTTTAACCCCCTACACCTACACCTACACCTACACCCCCGGCCCGGTCCCCCCTCCAACCCCCCGCTCTCGGCCCGGTCCCCCCCTCCAACACCACCCCCAGCACGGTCCCCCCCCCCCCCCCCCCCCCACCCCCCACCCCCCCCCCCCCCCCACCCCCCCCCCCCCCCCCCCCCCCCCCCCCCCCCCCCCCCCGCCCGCCCGTATGACTTCTAAGCAATACCAATCAATATCAAAGAGATATGATGGATCGTTTAATATTCATCTTGACAAGAAATTAGCTACATAATATGATAAAATATGTATCCGAAGCACAAGGGTATAGCTCAGTAGGTAGAGCACCTCGTTTACACGTGTGCCAATGTTTTTCAGAGGAGTCCATCATACACTCAAAGATTTGATCTTTTTTGTGAAATCAATGTCCCACCACACACACACATACACAATAGAAGTTATAAATCAATAAAAGTTATTTTAACCCGCTGCTTCATCTAAAATGTAATTTAAAGGATATGTTGAAATGTAAATTTGGCTATTTATAGTGATAAACCATCAAATATGAAAACTAAGAGGATAGACAAAAATAGAGAGTGAAGCTACAAAGAGATCAAGAGCAATAACAAAGATAGGGAGATGAAATCAAGAACTTAATCAAGGTATGGATTCTAGCCATTACATGTTTGAGCTATTGTTATCACATAACTTCAAGAATCCCGAAGGGCTTTAAGGCTCATGTCCCTCTCCGACTTTTACCTTTTCATCACTCTCCTTTAAGCCTCTCCTCTTGCTTCTCATGGCGTCACCTCTTCTTTCTCACATGGCTTGCCAACTTCAAACCCTACTCTTGCCTTTGCTCAAGGCCCCTTATCTCAACCAATAAACTCTTCCATTTCGTTTGGTAGCTTCTCTTCCCATCAAAATAAACCAAACCACACCTCCAAATCCCCAAATGACACGAACCATCTTCAAATCTCCAATCCACCAAATCACATCAAGTTTCTAACTTTATCAAACTAGTCATCAAAATTATACTCCGTGTTATGTTATTTCTAGTATATGACCATCGGAACATATACATCACTATGCAATCTTAGTCCTTTATTGTTGCCAAGTGTATCTTTCACTTGAAATATCCTAACCATGAGTGCTACCCTAGCTTTTATTTTTGGCTTTGAGCTCGGCTCAATTCGACAAGCCCCATCTAGCCACCTCATACAAAAATTTTGGGGCCGTAGATGGAACCTTATGGTCACAGATATTCTAAGCTCTACCGTGTATAATCCAGTACGACGTATATTTAGTTATAATCAAATAACAGTGGACTCAATATCAGGTGTCATTATCACGTTTGTTGTCTCAGGTTTTATGCATGAATTGATTTTTTTATCATCTTACGTGTGCTTCCCACGTGGGAGTGACTGGTTTTTTCCTACAAGGGGTAGTGTAGTGTTTGAGATTCATTAAGAAGAACTTAACCATTCGTTGGCAGTTGCCCCCAATGGTTTCGAGGCCGTTGGTGGTGGTGTTCGTGGTGGTGACTGCTACTTGGTTGTTTTTCTCCTTATTAAGAAACAATTTATTTTGATAATGTTTTGAGGAGTCCTCAATTATTTTAAATTATATAAAAAGTGTTAAGAATGTAATAATAAAGTTAGAATAAGGTACTATCTGTAGGTATCTTGGCGGTTCGTGGGATTCTTGGGTGTATACTCAAGAGATCTTGAATTTGAATCCCCAGATTATTAATAAGGGGTAGCCATTGGAGGCTTACATGACCATTAACTTCAGGGTCGCGAATGACTAGTCGAGGTGTGCATAAACTAGCTCGGACACCAAAAAAAAAAAAAAAAAAAAAAAAAAAAAAATTAGAATAAGGTTTAATTGAAAGTGTTTGTGCCTAAGGAAGATAGAAATTGTTGTACCTTAAGTTATCAATAAATACGTGCACTTTCTTTCCTTTCTTTCATTACGTAGTCAATCTTTTATGTTCTTAATATTTAATTTTAAAAGGTAAAATACATTGTTACCTCTATTTACTAGAAAATTTTACTTCATTGATTTCATAAACTACCGACGTTACTTTTATCTTTGTTAACTTTACATCTCACTATTCAAATTGAGGGTGAGACTTTTAGTTTCCAAAATCAAAAGGGTGAGATTGTCTTGGATTTTAAGTTTAAGTTTTATGCATAAATACACCTTCACTCTCTTGATTTCAAAAAATATCAATATCATTTCTAATTATCAAAGTTGGACATTAATTTAATATTTGTGAGTTAAACATGAATTCTGGTACATCTATTTGGCTGGACTACAAAAATAAGTCCACTAGTGCAACCAAATTTATTTTGACCAAGGAAAGTTGGATGGGTAATTTTCAAATGGTGATTTATAAGGAAGATTAAAAAATATCCCTTGAACAGAATAGCAATGCACGTTTATTTAGAAGAATGAAGGCTGAATTTTTCAAGTATAATAGAAAAAGAAAATAATAGTTGAATAAACCAATTATGTAATTTTTTTTTCTTTTTCTTGTTGATAACTGTAACATCCATTTGTTAACAGATATAAAGTTGAGATTCTAATTTTTCAAGTGTAGTTTTATTTTAAGGTTTTATAATTATCAAAGTCAATTGTATTATGTTTATTAATTAATATTTATTATGCTAAAACTTAGATTCATATAATCTGGTTGAATTAATGAGAGTCAATTATTAGATTC